CGTGCTTGCTCTTTTGCACTACTGAAACTCGAATAACGAGTTGCCTTTGACATCATTACGCCCTTTTCTCTGAGTCATCGTTTCCGAGCATACAAAAATGGTTTTTCAGTGGGAAAGACACATAATTTCCTCAATAATGCGGTCAGGCATACTGAAGGGTAAAGCTTAATGTTATATTAATGTTTATTAATAAGTGATGGCACTATAAAATTTTGGTAACTGGAATGTCGCACTGAGCTTTCGCACACAGGCATAGCCCACAGCCCTGCGCATCATATTACTTATTCAAGTAGGATCCTGTAAAGCCTCAGAAAAGTATGTGAAAATTTTGACCAAATGCTGGCAAAATGGTGCATATGGGTATCTGAAAAAGAAACACTACTTCACTCCAGGTTGTAATGTAAACTGATGGCTTCTTAAACTTATATGGCATCCGCGAGCGGATTATGAAAGCAGGCAGTTTAGGTTCAGAAAGTAAATAAGTAGGGGAAGCGTGAATTTAAGTTTGAACTGGCGGAACAATTTTACAGCGTGGGATGTGATCATTATTCGAAATGCTGTAACTGACCTCAGACGTACAACTTAAAAAAAAACTGCAGTAGGCATCTCCACCCATCAATTAGAAATCGAGATGCCCTTTCAACTACAGATACATTTATGAGATCTCCTAATGAAAAAATCACATATTCGGCGATGTAAGTCGCCAGGCTCCAGGTAACAAAACAAGTCCTAATTACCATTTTCTGATAGCATAATATAACCAAAAAAACACAATCAACCCTGCTCTTTTCTTTACGGCTAAACCAGATAACTTTTGGGAATTATCCGTTTATTTGCTCACCTCAAACTCACGTCAAGCAACATTTTGAAGGCTTTGTGTCTAGTGTGGCAGACGGCCACAATGCCTGTCCCCCTTCGTTCTGCAATGCTCGCGTCCCCCAATGTCATTTGTCTTTGCACGCAGCGGATCACACTTGCTGACCTGAAGACCACTTGACCGATATTCACTCATTTACACACGTGTTCCACACCCGCGCATACACGCGCGTCTAAATGAGCACGCCTGCTAAAGTGCCACTTAAACACGACAAGCCGCGGCCACAAAGCCGGTGGGCTTTAGAGGCGACATCCTCTCAGGTATTTGCAACACACCAATAACAGAACACTTGAACTTGCTCCGCAATCCTACTTAAGCAACTGTCATCACCCCATACAACACACAATCGGCATACTCGGGTCTGGCTGGACGCAGTCAACAGTAGCCCTGGCTTCGCCAGTGGCCACTGCCATCTGAGGCAGCAATCGGGAGTTCTGCACACAGTACACCACTATTTCTGGTGTCTTCTGCATTTTCACTTCCAACCTGGGATTTCGGGCTGATGATTGTAGTTATCCGAGCGCAGCCACTACTTAGACCGCTACACCAATCACGCTGGTAATATCTTCCGCATGGTTCCCTGAGTCATGGTCCTGGCAAAAGGTTCGCAAACATTTAGTTAAACTCCGGGGCCCAAGAACTGTCGATTACTCTGTTGTTGTTGACGACTTCCTGGGGTTTCCAGACGTTTGCGCATCTAACAGCACCACGCATGTGCACACAATCAAAACGGCTTATGGTGAGCCTGTTGTGTGGAAAATGAAGGGACAATCAAAACAATTATTTTCATGCGAACATCGATTCGCCAGACAACGGGTGGGAACTTTGTTTTTCACGAGGAGGGCTAATTGAACACCTGATTCTGCACGTGAGCAGTGTTGATACGAGTTAGTGATTTCCTAGAATGGCACAATCCCATGCCCCAGAAGGTCTGACACTGTGTATCTAGCCATAACCAAATCTTCCTTTGCCTATAAATTATCATCATGCCACCGAAAACTTTATCAGTCTCCAATGCTAACTTGCAGCTGATTTAAGGCAGCACTTTTAAGATTCCGATATCGTGGGTTGATATCCGACATTAGTCCTGTGAAATAGGTAAAGTTTACAGCAAATTCTGTTCAGGCCAGAAGCCGACAAGTCGCTAATCCATCCATGCGTAACACATCACCTGCTGGACTGCCAGTCCCCCCTGACATTGTCATATTCACTTCTATCTCTCCCCCTCCCCCACCGCCACTGACCATCTGTCTAGTTT